ATTCAGATGGGCTTCAACAATAGCGATCACCCCCAAACTAAGCAGGAAGCGAATTTTGCATGGAACCGTTTCGTCTGGTCTATGCATACCGAAGGCCACTCTTTCGTCAAGCTTCTCCCCATACTCTACCAGCCACTAGGCAGCCAGTTGAAGTCAAAGTACACAAACAAACACACACGAGAGGTCGTTTTTGGCAGTGTGTGCAACCTCCTTTACTACGCCTTCAAGCCGGGAACGAACAGTGCTCTTCTCGACACCTATTGGGACATTTGCGTCAAGCCCTTGATAGAGCCACCCAAAGCGCAAGCAAGGAACCCCGACGCTGTTGATGAGCATATGCGGCAGATAACACTAATCCTCACCGGTCTTTTTGACTCGACAACACCTCGGATTTGGAGGGAGGAGCGTATTAGAGAGACAACTCTTGCCCGGCCGAACGAGCTGCCAGCTATTGATCCCAAGTGGCTCCGACGCAACGCTGCTCGTGTTTTTCAGACTATGGAACCTATCATGGATAGACACTTTCTCGAGCTCTCGGACAAGAACAGTCAAATCCATCGCTTGTGGCGCACTTTGGTGGGGGCCATTGTATCGGCCGCCTCCAAAGAGATCAAAGTTTCTGTCGACACCGCGGCGTTCATTTCCCAAGTGTGCGGTCTTTTGCTCAAGCATTGGGAGACTGGCTTGACGGAGATTGAAGATCCTACTCCTGAGATGGCGACCAAGTTCCTGGACAGCGCTCGTGAGCTCATCATAGTCGCTGTAGAGGCCCTGGGTCTTCGGCCTTTCACCGAGAAGATGATCTCTCTTAGTCGTCTTCATACCTTCACACCTGTGTCAACGCCGTCCCAAAAGCCGGCGAAGAACGCTGGTGACGCCCGGACTCCGCTACAGCATTTGATCGGCTTGGTCTCTCGGCTTCCCCCGGGTGTCCCCGACGGGGAGGAGTACGTCGAGTTCTTCAAGACGTTCTTTGCACCTTTCTTAGTCCAGAAGTCAGCAAACTCTCGCTTGGAGCTGGCACAAGAGATGCTGTCGGCCACTCCAATCTGGTCGCCCCCGGTCAATCAACTTCCCTATGCACCATGGGTCTTCGCCGCGGAGTGCCTGTCGGCGACCTTCAGCTCACCCCAAAACAGCACTCTAACAACTAGCTCAATAATTGAGCCGTCACTCGGTCAAGAATACCGCACCGTGGTGCGTCTCCTGGAAAGAGGATGGAAAGAGACTTCCAATCTACCCTGGGAACCCTGGTGTTCGCTCTTCGCGAAGTTGTCGGCCCGGTCTTACCAGGAGACTGGCGAAGCTGGCCGCGCTTTAGGCACTATCGAGCCGCTTGCCAAAGTCGTCCGGGAGTCTATCCCTGCCGACCATGCCTTGCCGCTGTCGACAAAGACGCTTCTTGCAACAACTGAGCTTCTCTCCGTTGCTAGCCACCCATTAGACAGACAGGCATTGGAAGCTGCTCGACGCAGGTTATGGGGTACAGCAGTTGCGGGACCTAGGTCATCCTCCTTCGATCCGTTTGATAACTTTTACAAACTGGTCAACGAGGTGATGGAACGACTCTACGAGGCCGGCGAGCGTGGAGATCTGGACGAACTTGCCACTCAGCTTCTCAGGGCGAGCGGTTCATTCCTTTCTCGCTGCAACCCGGAGCTTGTTTGCAGAACTGTATCGAACTTGGAGAGTGGGCTTGCCGTGTGGATCCGGGACTCGCAGGGCATTTTGAATGCCCGACAGAGCCCTGCTGCATCTGAAGCTGTGAGTCTTACTACTAACGGGGAAATCTACTTTACTGACCAACAGCAGGTCAAGCTTCTCTGGGAGACCGTTTCCAATATCATTTTGCCTAGCGGCAAGCCAGAAGAAGTGCAGCTCGAAACATTCGAGGAACTCATCTGCGCTGCCTTTGAAAGCAAACACCGCCATATTCTTAACTCTGTCGCAGAGGCGTGGAATCGGATTTACGAGAATGCGGAACAAATCCAGTACCCTGAACATCTCAAGGCCGTCTTACTGGGCATTCAACCGGTTGTGACCCTCGTTCTTCCAGGCTTGGAGATCGCCAGTGTGGCGTCTACGGACCAGAATCGCTCGTTCGTCGAATCGCAGGACGACATTGAGATGCTCACCGTATCCTCCACACGCTCATCTCGAAAGAGAGCTCAGAAGCCGGCCACGTCCAACCAATCATCGCCTCTCAGCTCTGTCAAGCTGTCGCTCTCTGCAAAGAAGCAGCTGGACAACACTACACCTATGAAGGGTCGTGGAAGGCCCCGGCGTAGCGCTGCAGCCAAGGCGCGGTTGAGACATGACGACTCTCAGATTCAGTTCGCGCCCATTGAGAAGTCTCCTTTGAACCCGGCAGTCAACGCCGAGTCTCAAGTTCTCACCGAACGCCAGAAAGAAATCAGGGAGAGGCAGAAGGATGCCGCGGCCCTTTACCCAGAAATGCGGTCAAGCCCTCAACAGCAACAACCACAGGTCACTGAGAAGTCGACCGCCCCTAAGATGGTTGTCGAGACCCCTAAGGATGTGACACCTAAGCGCAACGCTAGGTACGAGGAGTTTGTCAGCTCGACCCCGACACCTCGCCGAGGTCAGACGATGGCCATGGCAGATAATGATCAGGAGATGACGGATCCTCCTTCTTCACCTCTGGAGCCCCGACCTTTCCCTCTGCTGCCTCAGATCAAGTCACGCTCTAGCAGTCGCAGCGAGCTAGAGAACTGGCAGTTTAGTTCCTCTCCTGTGTCTGGCTCTCCATCTCCCGATGCCGCCGTCATGACCGATGAGCCTACAGATCTCAACTTGACCGACAGCGCAACCTCTCAACGTGTCCCCCGAGCAGGTAGCCCGGATCTATCAGCAGTAGATGACTCGTTTCAGATGGTCCCCTCAAGTGCCGTGGAGGAGCCGGAGCTCCCACCGCCTGCCTTCGAGACCGCAAAGGAGACGCTGCAGCCCGATCAATCTCAACATGATATGGCGGAATCGTCCGCAGAAACTCTTCCTGACCCTGCGCCATCAACCCCCAAGAACAACCGAGTGACTGGCGTAGAGGAGCCCAGATCTGGCCAGGAAGTCTTTGTCGACGCGCCCTCAAGCCCGCAACCCACAGTACTTACCAGGTCCGCCTCGCGCGCAGCTGCCATCAAGGACCGCTCCTTTGAGATGAGTGACGGAGACGAAAACAGCATGTTGAGGCTTGTCGTCGAGCTCGACCGTAGGCGGTGCGAACTCCCGATCAACGATTGCCCTGCCATTTCTCCTCCAAAATCTAATAAGGGTCCCAGCAGCGCCAAGAAAGAAAAGGTTCCTGTGCTTGACTGCATCACAGTCCGAGGTGAAGATGACGAAGAGGAGGACGACGAAGAAGAGGAGGAAGACGAGCCAGCGGAGCTTGCTCTTTCACAGGTCCAGACAAGAGCCCGTAAGAGCAAGTCCCATTCGCCCGCACGACCCTCAACTCCTGTAACTCGTTCAGCTGCTTCATCCCCGGACAAGTCAGCTAGGAAGCGGAAGAGGGGCGGTGCTTCCAACGTCGATACCCGCCACAAGAAGAGGAAATCTACTGGCCCCTCAGAAATTGTCGAGTCGTCCCAGATCACCATGTCTCCGGTGCTCGGGGAAGAAACCCCCCGCCGTCGTCGCAGCCAACGCATCAATGTCAACGACAGCCCTTCGAAACGCTCCGTGGATCTGGATGCCGAAGTCAACTCTCAACTGGTTAATGAGCAAGAGGAGGCGGACTTCCGGGCGAGTCAATCATTCGAGGAGCCGGAGCTGGAGCAGACAACAACCATGGCACACGAGACGGCAGAAGACTCCATGGATGTTGATGTCGCCGTTGTCACCACTGTCGCTGAAGTAACCCCAGTCCCCGAGGCTCCTGTCGAAGATGCTGCCAAGGATGTCAGCATGATTGACAATCTGAGCGGCGTTCTCGCCAGTCTTCGCTCCGCAGCACTGTCACGGGAGGAGGTGTACAAGATGGAGGACATGCTCATGGATATCAAGAGAGAGCTCTACGCCGCCGAGGCTCGTGGGCGAGCTTAACCAAAGTTCTACTACTACCGGCACTGACGCGGAATGCAAAAGTCCGACAACGACCCGCTACCGCTTGTCATCATTTCCCTTTTGTTTCTTGCTTACTGGCCTCGCGAGGACACTGTCAATACGCCTCCGCCACGCCATGTATACATGTACATTCACGACGACGATGGGTGTGTCAGCAACACCCGCCATGCATTGTTGGCGTAGATCTTTGGTTTTATGAGTTGAAGACGAAGAAAGCAGAAGAAGGAAAGGAAAAAAAAACATTACTTGGTTTTGGTGTTTTTTCCTCGTTAACTTATTCTTGTATGGAAACTGGGTATAAGGGAAAACTCATGGCATGAAACTGGATTGAAGTTGGGGAGGAGGGGCAAGGGAACGAGGAGGGGAGGGAAGGGGGGACATACCATCCTCGACTTTATCACGTATCAGATTGTTGCAAACGCATCTGGGGGTTCACCGCCGCCCAGGATAATGAAAAGAGACGAAAAGGAGAGCAAAAAGAGATAATGATGAGCTGTCATAGCATACTGGGTATCCTTCGCACGTGTGATCAAGGGTTGTATGTGTAAGAGCGTGTGTGTTTTTTTTGCCGCATCGAGCGCATCAAGCGCATCAAGCGTGATGTATTCAAAAGGGGTAGTTTCCGGGCCTGCTTTCCCTTAACGCGCGCGCCTGCTGGTTCATGATAACTTTCGGCCTTCACTGCTTCCACGTCTGGCCGTCTAAATATCCCTTCTAAGCTCAGAATTCTTCCTTTGGTTAGGTTTGTCCCGAGACTCTTTTTTCCAGTTGTTGCTTTGACCCCTCCCCGCCGCCTCTCTTTCTCGTTCCCTTTGGCACCCCACCTAGTCGACGTGACTTGGACCCTCTCTCCCTCTCTCTCTTTCTCACAGCTTTCCCCTCTCCACCAGCCCGCCCCGCCCCTTCATCCCCTGGCATCAGTTCGAGCTCGCCGTAATGACCTGGGCGCCCTCGAACGCGTCGCCGGGCTCGAGCTTCTGCCACTCCTTGACGGCGCCGGGCTCCACGCACAGCATGTTCTTGTAGCCGTCCTTGGGGGCGAAGTCGGCGATGCCTTGCGCCTTGTCGACCCAGGGGTTCCAGACGACGACGTTGTCGAGGTTGTCGCGGACGACGGAGAATACGGGCTTGCCGCTCTCGAGGACGGTGACAGGGGCCCGGGGGCCGCCGGTGGGGGTGTAGATGCGGTCCGTCTCTTGGGTGATGGTGACGTCGCCGGATTGGGACTTTGAGGCGCCGTTGTCGACTTTGTCGGTGTAGGCGGCGCCGTCGAGGCCTTGCACTGAGATCTTTGTGATGTCCTGTTTGTTTTGGGCGAGTTGCTGTTAGTTTCTGGACTTGGGGGGATAGAAGCTTGGTATAGAGGAAGGGAGGGGTGGGACGTACGTTGACGCGCAGGTAGGTGTGCATCAGGACCTGGCAATCAAAGGCCTCCTCGCCCTCGTTCGTGATGACCAACGACGTCGACAGCGTCTCGCGGTCGAGCGACACGCTGTAGATGGCGCCAAACTTGTACCCCCACTTGGCCTGGGTCTCGGCGTCGAGGTTGGCCGAGGACAGGCCAAAGTCGAGCTTGACGGAGGACTCTGAGCCGGCGGACCCCTCGCTGGTGGATTTCCCGAGGAACTCCCAGCGCGAGCTGCGCGCGAAGCCGTGCTGGCTCAGCTTGGCGGTGGGCGGGTGGGCGTCCGAGGGGGGGCCGAAGACGGGGAAGACGAGGGGGATGCCGCCGCGGACGGGCATGGAGCCGTCGAGGACGGTGGACTCGGAGAGCCAGAGGCGGTCTGCGCCGGCGGCGGATTTCCACGAGAGGACGGTGGCGCCGTGGAGGAGGACCTCGACGGACTCGCCGGTGGGGAGGGTGGCGGAGACGCGGGTGTTGTTGTGGGTGATGTCGACGGTGGCCTGGGGCGGGAGGCCGGGCGTGGTGGCCAGGGCGGTGGGCTTGTTGGGCCGGTCGACCATGTTTGCTGCTGTGTCGCGGAAGGTATGGAGGTTGAAGGTGGGCTGGGTGATTGGGAAGATGTAGAGAGGCAGGAGAGTCGTTGCTGTGTGTATGGGACGATGCTTCTTCTTCTGAGATACGTTCGCGCGGGGTAGGATTTCGAGGCGTTTATTGGAATGAAGATTATGGGAGATGCGGGGGGCGGCTACTCTTGAGCAACGGGTTGATGTGAGAGTTGTAGATATGCAAGAGGTTCTATCCGAGATGGGAGGAGAAGAGGTTGTGATCGGGAGGAACAGTTTGGGCGTTGGTGGAAAGTTGAGTACAATGCAACAAGCAACAATCGGATACAATGGCAACGGGTGGATGCCGGCTGCCAGTGACAAGGTCCCAGCAGATTCAGAAAAAGTCGTGTGTAAGCAGATGTCAACGGGGGGTCTGTGTCTCTAGGTAATGTTAGTCAGGTACGGAAAAGTACCTTACGATGCTTACATAGGTAGGTCAGTAACAAACCTTAGCTAGCAGTCTTAGGTAGCGGAAGAGGAGGGGGAGGGGGAAGGTCGGTCAGCTTGCTGCGTTGGATGTCTGCGTTGTCTACCTTAGGTCTGAGGGGGGAACTTGTGAGAGAGGGAGGAGGGGGGGCAACCCGGAGCTGGGTGAGGGGGAGGGGGAGGGGCAGCCCTGTCTAGCGTGTTGTAAGGCGTGAAATAGTGCCCTGTGCTGGAGGGGACCTGGGAGTAAGGCAATTGATGCCCATTCCGTCATGTCTTCCCCACTTGTCATCGGTCCCCCCCCCCCCAGGAGCTCTTCCCTTTCTTTTACCTTAGTTAAGGTACTCCGTACTACTTCACTGCTTCTGCTGGCATGAAGGATGAAGGTGTTCTTGCGAAGGAAAAAGCTGCAAACCAGTCACAAACGAGGGATCTCCCCAAGCTGCGGCATCTCTGGAGCTCCCTTTTGTTTGTGAATCCGAGCAAGGGGTCAAATTTGCCCCCTTTCTTCTCTTTCTTTCACTCATTCTTCACTCTTGAGCTCATAGTCGCGAGGCCACCACACCCCCATTTTGTCCCGCCTGTCATTCTGAAACGAGCTTCATCCTCAACCAAGCTCCCCTCGACCACCCCCCTGTTTTGTCAAAGCCTCGGCAAACAACGACAAAACAAATATCTGCACACTTTCTGTATGAGTTATAGAGGTCGTGAAATAGGCAGCCCACTCGGGTTGTAGCCGAATCTGTCCCTCGCAATGATCCGAGAAGCGTGAATTTCAATCATGTTCAGCCCAGCCCGCTGCTTACGATCTACCTCTTCTAGGCCAACCCATATTGACTATCGGGCACCTCGCCTCAATAGAAAAGACCTACTTTTGAGAGAATAACACAAGATGCAATCCTGTATGTCCTCGATAACAAGATAATTGGAGACAAAAGGTTCTTCTCGGCCGAAACGCGTCAGGGGCCCCAGAGAAACTTGCACGAAGCAAAAAGTGGATGATCGAAGCTCCCGTTTGGTTTCTGTGGAGATGAAGAAGGAGGTAAGGGTATCACGGTATCAAGGATTCCCAACCGAAAGGGGCCCCGATGAATTGGGTTTCTAAGCTTCGGCTGCATATTGCCTTGCTGACCGACCAGCCGAGAATGCTAGGTTATCTCGCTCCTGGTTCAGGCCACCAAAGGATAAACACGATTCAAGGCCGGCACATCGAACGGATGAACACATGAACAGTGAGCGAGCGAGCGGCAATAGTCGTGTGAATAACCCCTTTCCCATATCTATCAACAAAACAACCCCCAACAGCGTACATGGATAATACATATAAAAAACAAATCATGACTTTTGCACCTTGAACCCGATACTATCCCGATCGTCCCTCACCACCCGTCCCCATTCCAGGAGCAATCGAAACAGGTAAATCTCCATGTCCTCCCTTCGCAGAGCCTTGTCCACCCACCGCGCCCCCTGCGTCGCGATCCACTCGGCGTCCTCCCACCGCGCCTCAAAGTCCACCTCCCGCCCGTTGAGCTTGCCGCGGCCCTTGAGCCCGACAAAGTACGCCACCGTGCTGTGGAGGGCGTGGAACCGCGTGTCCACGGGCACAAAGTGCAGCCACGGGATCAGCCGCTCCGAGTACCACTCCCCAAACACCGAAGACATGAGCGGCACGCTGCCCGGCGACCGAAGCGTCCGGAGCATCTGCAGCGGCGGCGCCGTGTCCTCGTCCAGTAGCATGACGTAGCGGTGGTCCAGGGGATCTTCCCCGGAGGCGGCGACGGGCTTCTGTCCCAGCTCCGCCCTGGCCGCCCCGCAGCCCGGTGTCTTGACGTCGCACGCGTACTCTGCTATGCCTATATCGAACGGGAGGATGGCGTTGGCCTCCCGCGCGCGGACAATCTCGTACGCGTACCAGCTGCCCTTTGACGGCGCGCCGAGCATCATCGTGACGTCTTCCGCAGCCGTCGCGTTGTTGACGAGGTGGACCAGCCGGTGCTTGTGGTTCCCGCGCAGCGCCTCGTCGCTGATGGGCTTCTCGCCAATCTTGCCCCGCCAGTACACGCTGTCCTTGCGCTGCCGAAAGTCCTTTTTGTGCTCCGGCTCGTCTTCCGTCAGGGGCATCAGCGGTAAGAGGATGTCGTTGAAGCCGTCGGCTTTGAATCGGCCAAAGATGGGCAGCAGCTCCTGCACCGGCTTGATAGGGGGCGCCGACGTGTGGAAGCTGTGGAGACGGGTCAGGTCTTGCTGGTCGCAGAGGCTCTTGGACTGTGGATAATTCCACATGAACTGCTCGTCTTCGTGCCACTTTACGCACGAGGTGCAAAAGTCGCGGACGTTCCAGTGGAGCCCTGACCTTCCTGGGGTGTTGGTCGGGCACACGGAGGCTTCCATGTCCCGCCATGCTTTGGTCGATTCGTACATCGCCTGCTTGGACTGAGGAATCGCCGGTGAGCCTCCCACGGCCTTCGACTCTGCGTTTCTCTCAACGTTGCCTTCAGGGGATGGTATTTCACCAGAACCTCCAGCCGAAGCATCCTCCATCGAACGCGACGATAGAAGCTTGAACTTCTGCTTCATTCCCGTGAGTGTATATCTATTGAGCTCAGACCACGGTGTCAGGACCCGAGGCTGGTTGCTCAAGTTGATGGGCAACTTCATGTCGGACAGATGCTCGACAAAGCCCCCGATCATGGCCACAAGCTCGTCCAGAACCTTCTTGTTTGCGTCATTGCCCTCGTAGTTGTGGGAAACCTGCTTGTTCTCGATCGTAACCATGGCGATATGAGGCTCTTTTGGTACCCTCTCATTGTAGGCTTGCCGGATCGCCTCTGGCTTAACGCCCCAAAAGGGCAGGATATCGCTCTCCATCTGCTCAAAGTGGTCGATGATGACAGATTTCCGAGCCTTTGCGAATTCGTACCATTTATCAAAATTAGGAGGCGGGTCTCTCCCGTAATGCCGCTCGTGATACACGTCGACGGCAACGTTCAGGTTGTCGCTGGTCATAGCATGGCGCATCCATCGATCGGATTCCACTCGAACATCGTAGATGAGTCTATTCAGTGGGTGCTGTTTGACTGTTGCCGACTTGAGGAGCCCGTAGATCGTCATGCCGACGAACATGGAGACCATGAGCACGAGGATCAATGCTCTGGGTATGAAGAGGAGCGAGCGGACGTTGGTGCTGTACAGAAACATGCTGTAGCCGAGGACCAGAAGGTACAAAGGCCCGATGGCGCTCAGCCTGGATTCCATTTGCCATTTTCCAATGTGCATGATGTTTTGGGTGGCAGCAGTGAGGCCGCAAATGAAGGTGATGATACTAGTAGGGGTTACGGGATTTGTCTCATAGACAAGGATGCTCAGCGAGGTGACGAGAACCGCAAAAGCGAAGCTATCGATGAAAATGTCAAAGATGTACAGGGAGTTAATCCCGCTAAAGGAAGTGGGATATCCCTCACTAGCGGAAACGAGGGGTGAGATGAGGATCTGGAAGACTTTAATAAAGACTCCCGAGAGGGCCAGAATGGTGCCAAGAGTCCTCAAACGCAGCCTCGTTGTCTTGGTCCAAGCCAGAATGCGCCAAAACAGGGAGACGATGACCGCGTCCAAGAACAGTCCGAGTAGTTGGAAAGCAAGAGTGGTCATCCGGCTGTCCGATAGAGCGGAACAGAAGAAGGTTGACCTGGGATCTTGCGAGATGGCGACAAAAGTGCCGTAGCTGAAGAGGCAGGCACTTCCAAGCGCCAGCGTTCGGGAGCCGTTTGCCCATACTGCAATGTCGTCGCCAATGCTTGCCCATGGGTCTTCCTCAGGGGGTGGTGGTCGGGCTCTTTGATAGTATAGAATGTGATAGAGGACTAGATAGATACACAAGAACGACTATTGGGCCGTGTCAGTCTCGTCATTCACCTGACGATGGAGGCATATCCGCAACTCACCTGCACTCCCGGCACAGAGCATTGTAGCTGGGCGGTCACACGATGAAAAACCTCGAGACGGAGAAAGATGCAAAAGATGAGCAACGGGGCAAAATATCGCCGCGGTCTAGCAGGTATTGTCTGCTCAAAGGTGCTCTTGGAGCCCGCACGCTCATCTGAAAAGTGATGTCAGCACCGGCTACAGGGAATCCTCCCACAAGGTATACGACGAAACATACCGAATCTTCCGTCCGCGCCAGGAAGCCATGCGGCGAGATAGCTCGCCAGCCATGTCAAACCTCCCGATAGCAGAAGTATTAGAACGGATGAGAGACGTGGATACTCTGGAATACCATTGCGTCAGCGGGAGAAGCTTCTTCCTGTTTCCCACGTGGTGAACGGGGATAAATAAAAGTCTTGGCAGACTCGGCCCGCACCGATCAGAGAATGTCCCTCAACGTTGGAAGATATCCAAAGAAAGGAACCAACAACACTGTAGTTGTGTCAGAATCGAAATTGCGTAGTATTGGGAAGAATTGAGGATCTTCTTACCACAGCGCCGTCAGATGTATTTGCGCATCGCGTGCCATTGAGGGAGACTTTCACCAG